AAGAATTATAGAAGAATTAAAGATTAGGTTGGTTATGCGTTTTCAAGTCCACGGCTGAACAAGTGGTCTCAGATCAGTTGGATTACTAACCAGTCAAAGTGACTTTGATTAAATAATCATTATGATGTGAAATTAAATAATCGTATTGTTTTTCTTTCGTTGATTCCGTCCGCAAGGGTGCCAAATTAAAATCAGTGTTGGGTACTTACTGTGCCCAGCTCATACCGAGTTGGCTTTTGTAATAGTAAAGCCACCTTGTTGCTCTTTTTATTATTTTTCTATATTTTGTTTTTATTTTACTGTTTTTTACTGTTGTTTCTTACTGATATTTTATTTTTTTATAATTTCTAATGTTATTTTTCATACTTATTTTATATTTGCTTACTTGGTGCATCATGCCTAATGACAAATAAATTATTTTTCTTCCTTTATATATATTACTATTAAAGATCATGTAATAGAGGAACAACTGTTAATCTCCCACAAAGTACAATTTATCATTCATTTTTACTTAAAAGGTACGTTACTTCAAATGGTATTCTGTGTAAATGAAAGTAAAGATTATTATTCTCTAATAGCTTTCAGTTTTTATAATAGAAGAGATTTTATGGATACTTGTAAGATATAATAGTCTGCCATTTGTGTGATATTCTGATCATTTGTTTGTAGAAAACTTTTCTTTTTCAACCTTTTTTTGTGGTTAACTAGCTTCTGCCCGCGGTTTCACTTGCGATCTATTAAGGAGTCAGAGGCAGATCTACAAAATGAAAAACAAGTGATGCACGTTTTTTTTATTCTCTCATAGTCCAGTCCGTATACCAATTTTAGGTTCTTCCCTTGAAAATTGCGAATTGTGTGTAGAAAACACCACCACCCATTTTAGGGAAACTGGGGGATAAAAACAGACCAAAAAATAGCCTACGTCACTCTCCATCCTTTCAACTAACTCCAACTAAAAAATCACGTGGATTCGTCGCTGCGATTTGCGGTGTGAGACGGACAAATAAACAGACACTCACACATTCACAGTAACAATGTTAGTATGAATTTAGTTAGTATTTTCTTTTTTAATCTTTTCAGGTTTATGTTTTTTTGTCTACTGTTTGTTTTGTTATTACGTTAGAGGTCTGGTTTGTATCGTGTTTATTTGAACTGAAAGTGGAAACACCTTTGTTTTCTCTCAAGTAATTATGCTAAGTGATACTTTGAGTGTGATTACTGATAAATAAAGGCCCTACCATTTTCAAAATTTAAAAGTTGTCTAAAAAAAGTTCTCCTTGATCGTTGTTTTTATAGCGTACACGAGTTTCTAGATTATAGGTTATAAAGGAGCCAAACATAATGTGAGGGTCTAATGGACTGTTTTTTATTGTTATTTTGTGGATTAACGGCTGGATATTATTATTATTGTAATTTTTTTGTTAGTTTTATTTTAATGTTTGAAAATAATGAACCTCCTTTTTTATATAGTAATTTTTATTTTGACGTATACCTTTAATGACATTGTTTTATCACTTAATATGACATATCTTGTTTTATAGTTTTAATGATTATGACTTCCATGTAAAAGTTTTGCACGCCCGAATTGTGGGCAGAATAAGAGGGACTATAATCATAATGTGACCACTGTATACCTTGTTCGGGCAAATAAATGAATTTTGATTTGATTTGATTTGATTTGATTTGATAAGTAGAGCTATAAAGCGTTGAAATGATATTTCTAATGAAGGACGTTGAAAAATGGCGGACAAAACGTAGGTAACTTAGAAATGATTGAAGCACCAAAATGTCAGTGTTTTATTTTATTTTATGTGTGCGTTTGGAACCGCGTTACCAGATTGAAAATGAAATGTCCTTCGTGTCAATTTGTGTATGTTCTGCGTCTAATAAGGAGTCAGAGGCAGAGTCTTTGATTCACGAGACTGTGTACGCCTTTTGACAACCTACTTGTTTCAGATTAAGATATTTTTATTTTTTTAATAGAAGCACCGATGCCTACTCCTTCAGCAATAAAAGGCGTGATGGTATTATGTTTTTAATGGAATAAACTGGTAAACGAGGATCCTCTGATAGTAAAAAATCGTCCCTCCCCATGGACAATTGAAACATCAATGATGTTACAATTTTACAAATGCGTTACCCTCCTTTTAGGGATTAGGAATTTGGGGATTGTTGGGCATTCAAAGATAGGGTAGATTGTGGAGGAGGGTAACTGGGCCTCCGGTAACGCCACAACACAACGTAAGTGTTGTTTCACGTTAGTTTTCTGTGCGGCCTTGGTATCGCTCCAGTCGTGCCGGCCTTTTGTGCCGAGGCATGGCTCTCCTACACTAATTGTTTAGTCAGATGTCATTCTTACTTGTGTCTACGATTATAATCATTCTCATAACTGACCTCTAGGTTCCTGGTTTCCTGCCATCATCGTTGATTTTATGTATCCCTACCTGCTTTTTATATTAATTTATTTATTTTGTATTATCTGATCTTAATCAGTGCCTAGTTACACCTTTTAGGCATAAAACACAAACAACTAACTACAATTAACCTACCTCTACAAAAAGTGTTACTTAGACTATACAAATATATGGGAAGATGTTCGAAATTTATAGCATCCCTTTCAGCGCTAAATACCTCTAAAATTCAATTTATATTTCATATATACATAACCTCACGCCTGTCTCCCACGGCAGAGACTATGGAACGCCAATTACTGGTCATAATTCCAATATTTCAAATAACGGCAAGACATATCTCTGCATAACTATGGCTTAATTAAATCCGGACTTAAGCCATTTCCTTTATTGTTTTTTATAAAACTAGTCGTCCATTGAATATCTCTTCGGGGGACGAAAATAGAAGTACGTATGCAAACAAATAAATTTTAATCAAAGACCAAATTGCTTGAGATTTCCCCCCCATTGTTTTTCCTTTTTCTTAACAATCAATCTCGTTCAATCTTTAACACAATTTAGAAGTGAATTTTAATATCTTCCTTTACGCTCCTTAATTAAATGTGCTCCCCTTAACGTTTATTTTAATTTGCTAAAACAAGTTTGTTAGGATTTTACACATTGAATTAAATTAAACGGATCTTTGGTGATGGGATTCTGAAGTGGAAATTGGGTTAAGGATACTTATTACATTAGTTTCAAAGCAATGTCGTGATGGCTATTATTATTGCTGAGAGCTTGGGAATTAATTGTAATCTTTTGATTATTTCCAACGATTACTCTTAGCAATTTTTCTAATTCTTATTCGTCTTTGGTTACCTGTACAAATTCATAAAAACAAACAGTATATAATTATTATAAGTCAACATGAAGTTAGCGATGTTAAAGTTCCTATTTCAAATAAAACTCCACAAGTGCCAAACGAATTTCACAAACTATAAATATAAAAACTCAGCTTCCTTGGGAACGAGCAACTATTTCCTTATACTTTCTAGGCTAGAGGCGGTCACTACTTCCACGAGAATGCACAAGCTATGTTTCTTTCAAACGATATCAATAAAAGTATCGATACCGCCGGGAATATCTCGACTGCGAGGAAAAGAAAATAACTTATAAATAAAACAAACGTCCCAACTAAATCAGAAATATATCAGCATTATACGAACAAAAGGGATGGCTCGATTCTTATTTCTGAAGATCACAATTATATAAGGGCGCAAATCCAGGCTTTGTTGTTCCCGTAGCGTAGTAATTATAATGGCCCGTTAATAATTGCTCGAGGCTTTTACACGAGCAAGCATCTCTCATTTCTAATAATATCAAATTTGCGGTTGTCAGGGAAAAAGTTATCGACTAAGAGTCTAAAGGTCTTTGAGAAAAATGATATCTGATACCCTCGGATCACCATAAATGATGACTTGTTTATGATTTCTTCAAAGATTTGTGTCTTTGTGTTATAATTTTGCGAAACTTTCGCCTCTTTTGTTCTTAAATGAAGTGCCATCTTCAATATTTGGTGGTTCGGTAATAAATTATGAAGGCTCAGCTTTGGAATTTTAATGTTCGTTCAAGATGAGACAATGGTCCATATTTTAATAACATTTTCGAGACGTTATTCAAATTAAATTTTCATAAAGAACTATAATAAAAACGTTGCTGCTTTCTCTTATCTTTTGGCAATTTATTTGAGTCGTGAAATTAATTAAGCATGCTGAAGACGACGCGATGTCGAGACAATTTTCAATCGTTTTATATTTGCTTAAATTTTTCTTATAACTTGTAGATATCAACAATGATGAATTAATTTGATTTTACTTGGTTGTCAATAAATATTATTATGTTTATTAAACTTTATGAATAAAAAAAATTGGATAAACAAATTGGAATGGGTTTTAGTTTTGAGAGAAAAGCAAAGGTTTCAACCGAAGTATTCAATTATATCGCCAATTTTGTTGATTTTACATAAAAACTTTATTACCTACCTGCTTTAGTGTTACCTGAATATCAGTTGTAATAAAACTATCTTTTACATTTATAATAGGATACATAGATAGGTTAGGAATTACAAAATGAATACTGCGGTAATAAATGTAAAAGTAAGCAGTAAGTACAAAATAATGCTAATTATATAATTATCGATAATGAACACGTTCGACAAGATATGCACGTTATTGAAACGGAAACTTTACATTGCATTAATTTGACAACAGACAATTTATAATAAAAAACGAAAAAAAAAACGATAATTTAATGTGTTTAATTATTTGTATCAAAATGAGCTCTATGTTGCTCAAGAACAAAGATCTATTTAGTTTTACACTTCAAACTAAAACCAAAATAAAAATAAATGTGGACACAACTGTAGTAAAACATTATTTTAAGTCATAATCGTCAATAATCATATCGGCAGCTTTGTAAGCTATCATCATGACAGAGGCCTGAGTGAAATCTCTGATATTGTTCGGCATAGCACTAGCGTCACAAACTCTCAGTTTCTTAACACCATTAACTCGAAGCTTCGAATCTAAAACAGTTCCCATAGCACAAGTTCCAACAAAGTAATGTGCAGTATCTGAAGTTTCTACAGCATGACATTTCCAGTATTCCATAGTACCTCGCTCCAGACCATCACAAGCCTTCAATTTTGGATCGACAAACTCACCATCAACCGCCTTGAAATATGTAGTATTCACTATACGATCAAAATCAGCCAAATAAGAGGCGTGTTTGTCTATATCTATGGGATTGGAATAATAACCTGGGATTATCAAAGGATAGTCCTGAGGATCTGCACTGTTTAGAAGAATCTCTCCTCGCGATAAAGGATTTAGGTAAGTGATAAATGTTAAGAATATTTCTTTGTCATCAGCGCCTTCGTTAAATGAATCACAAAATGTGTTGTCGAAACTAAAGAAAAACGCGCATATGGCTAAGAATGTAATACTGTCGCCAAAGTGTGCGTTAATTGTTTGATAGTCTGGGTAACATTGGGACTTGTTAAGAGCAGGATAGCCAACAAAAACTACATAAGGATATCTGTTAGGATCCCCAAGAGCGTGTGCATGAGAACTTTTCGTCATTCTGTAAACCAACATACTGTTAACGTGATCTTGAAAATTTTTTCCTACGGGCAAATCCGATATCACTGTGATATTTTTAGCTTCCAATTCTTCTTTCGGTCCAATACCCGAAAGCATCAGTAGATGCGGTGACTTGATATTACCAGCTGTAACTATAACCTCTTTTCTTGCTCGAACAGTAATTATTTCGTTGTTATCTGTCAATATTTCTACACCAACGGCAGTTTTATTTTCATCAAAAACTATTTTAGTAGCTAAAGTGTTTATAAGGAGATGTAACTTTTTGTTATGTTTCAGAGGTCTTAAGTACTTTTGAGCTGTTGTTTGTCGCAATTCATCACCTATATTAAACATAAGATTAGTGAATCCAGTGGGATGATCCGGATTTATATCTAGATGATATTTATATCCCATTTCTTCAAGAGCATCAAAATATGGACGGTTTCTTTTGTAATATTGTTTTGTTATTTCAATTCTTCCTTTAGTTCCGTAATAATTCTTTATTTTAAGGATTCTTTCATCAATGAGTTTTTCAATTTTTTGGAATATTTTTAAGACAGACTTGTAGGACCAGGTTGGATCATTCGTAACGTTTGCCCAATTATTGAAATCGTGGAGATACCCTCGTCCATAGCATCCGAAGCCTAAGGAACCAGAGCCACCTAACATTTTTCCTTGTGACATGTGTATGACATTGCCTCTATGATATTCTTCTGATATGCCATCTTTGGTTGATGTGAAATTCCAATCATACCTACTGTCTTTTAGGTATGGAAATAATCCTGCCATCTGTAACCATCACAATAAGTCAATCATGGATATTTCATTAAATACAGATATTTCTGATGATCTTAGAATTCACAGTCGACTTTCATATCATTTAGGTAAATGTAATATTTTTCTAAAGTTAAATATAAATGAATTACTTACATCTGACTCCAATGGAGGATAAGATCCAGCTTCTATAAGCAATACACTGGCTTGCCCTGTCTCTACAAGTCTACTAGCAAGTAGGCATCCTGCTGTTCCTCCTCCTACTACTATGAAATCAAACTGTGATCCATCTGAAAAAGATCATTAGTATTATTCACTATAAATTATTTACCCTAGTCGGAGTATCACGTTGTTGGTTAAGTCTCACTACAACTGCTGGATAAGCGTATTTTTTTCAAATTTAAATTGTTAATTGCAAATATAGATCAAGTATGTTGTAGTAGTTTTTATAAAATAATTTAATCAGCTGTATTCTGTCATTTAGCTTAGGTTTATCCCCAATGATTTTAAACAGTACTGGGACAATTTTAACATAACCTAAAAACCCAAGGACAGTGTTTAAATGTTCACGTGAACGTGGCGCTAAAACAAGTTCAATATTGCAATTATGAGATTATGATTTAAGGTAACACAGATTTAAGGTAAGGCAGGATACACATGGCACACTTTTGACATACTTTTTCAAAAATAATTGTTATAAATTAATTTAAGAGTAAAAATCAGTTACAGTACTTACTTTGAACGCATGCTTGCTTTGGCCACTCGTATGCAGTAAGATTGAGTAGAGAAAGCAGTCGAAAAACATTCTCGACTTGTGTAAAGTAAGAAACGGCACTGGACGAATTCATAATTTTTAATATCAGAGAATGTCAATTTTCTTGTATGTTATAATATTATGTTGCCCTTTACATTCACTTGGTTGTTTTTTTCTAATAATTGAAAACCTAATCTTATTATTTTCTAAATAATAAAACCTTTTCTATGACATTTTTATAACTAGATGTTCAGAACAAGACTGGAACCTAAATTTCCTGCCATCTTTTATATAAAACTCGTGTATGCAAAATGTTTTATCAAAATGAGTATATTTTTTTCTCTCTTCTATGTTTAGCTTTAGACGATAACGAAATTGAAAAACATGGTTTCGGCTAATAAAATTAATTCAATGTTATACGAATAATTTACAAAATTTCAGACTGTGGCATTGGTCAAAATAAAGTCTGAAGTCTAATAGTCAAGTAAATTCACTAAAAATCGCGGGTTACTCACGTGAATATACTGAGAAAAGCTCTACTAGTTTCGAACCCCAGAGGGGTTCTTCCTCATGAGCAGCATGCGCGGTCGCGGCGATGTCGCGCAGCATTGGCGCTCGCCTCATATATTCACGTGAGTAACCCGCGATTTATAGTTAATTTAGTATGTCTCACGATATTTATTATAAAAACATCTCATGAAGTAGATGAATTCTGAACGGTATTATTATAAACTATCTTCTACCAGCGGCTTGTTCCCTGTGGTAAAAAATATCCCAATATTACTTCAGACCATAATCTACCTCTGTACCAAATTTCATCCCGGCCCTTAAGCCGTTTTGATGTGACGGGGTAACAAATACACACACAGACACGACTGCACGGTTGGTGCGGTGGCTGGGCAACTGGCTGCCGTGCAACGTGTCGCGGGTTCGATTCCCGCACGAGACAACACTTTGTGTGATCCACAAATTGTTGTTTCGGGTCTGGGTCCGCCTTAATCTTCATAAGGACAGAGGTCCGCATATACAATGTAAACTTTTCACCAATAATGTTACGAGTCTCATGTAATCTGACTGAAGTGACTGCACGGTTGGCGCGTTGGCTGGGCAACTGGCTGCCGCGCAACGTGTCGCGGGTTCGATTCCCGCACGGAACAATTCTTTGTGTGATCCACAGATTGTTGTTCCGGGTCTGGGTGTGATGTATATGTGAACTTGTATGTTTGTAAACGCACCCACGACACAGGAGAAAATCCTAGTGTGGGGCAACGTTTTTAAAGAAAAAAAAAAAAAAAAAAAAAAAAAAAAAAAAAAAAAAAAAAAAAAAAAAAAAAAAAACATATCCGTATATCCGACACACTTATATTTGGGTATATCCAACACACTTATATTTGCGTTTGGTACACTAACTGTGTCTAGGGATTGAGCCGCACAATTAAGTTTGTTTTTTCGTATATATATATTTTTGGAATAAAACGTCCCAAAACAGGATACTAACGTAGGTATTATCATACCAAATTTCATCGTAATCGGACTGGTAGGTTTTGCGTAATGCGTCAACATACAGATAGACAGATAGACAGAAAAAAAAATTGTCACATTTTTTTGTGTTCAGTTTTTATTTTTTATATTTTCAATATTCAGAATTTACACTTATACAAATTTATTACATGTATTAGATGATATATATTAGATATAAATGAAAAAAAGGTGTCAGTACAGTAGGTGAGAGGTCTGTGACTAGGCATGATGTTTGCTTGCCAATATATTCAGGGTCCCAAATAAAATCCCTGCATAGAGCGATTTTAGTAGGCTTAATTTTGTTGGCCTTCTACTTAACTCGTCGAGTACCGGTTTTGTAGACACAATTATAGAACAATAGTTTGCGGTCACCGGTGACCGAATGGTGTTTGACAGTTTAACGGGCACTATACAGGTATCTCAAACTTATTACTCACTTCAACCTACCACGTTTATAAACTAAAATAAGACAACAAAGGAAATGTGTTTAGTAAAAATATATTTAAAAGAAAGTCCAAAAAAGACACAATTTATTCATTCAATTAATTATACACAGCAGTATTGTTCAATAGACATTAGAGAAAAACGTGAAGGTATTCAATCCATACGGATCATCGTAAACCGTGATCTTTAATGATCATATTTGAGGCTTTACGAGCTATCGCCATAACTGATGCTTCAGTCAGTGCTCTTACGTTAGTCGGCATAACACTTGCATCACAGATTCGTAGCTTCTTCACACCATACACTTGCAATCTTGAATTTACCACTGCTCCCATTGAACAAGTACCCACAAAGTAATGAGCCGTATCTGCCATTGCGATGGTATAACATTTCCAATATTCCATACTATTTTTCTTCAAACCTTCACATGACTTCAACTGAGGATCTATAAATAAACCTTCGACCTTTTTAAAATAAGTCGTGTTTACTATACGATTAAAATCTGCAAGATAAGATGCATGTTTATCTATATCGGTTTCATTCGAATAATATCGTGGTATTATTAAGGGATTATCTCGAGGATCGGTACTTTTTAAAAGTATCTCTCCTCTCGATTCAGGATTCAAATAAGTAATGAATGTCATAAATATCTCCTTATTATCAGCAGCTTTGTTTATCGCATCGCATACCTTATAATCGTAGCTAAAAACGAACGCACATAAACCTAAAAATGTAAGTGATTCTCCAAAATGAATGCAAATAGTTTCATAGTCTGGGTAGCACTGTGACTTATTAAGAGCAACATAGCCATCAAAAATTATGTAAGGATATCTGTGCGGATCAGCGAGATTCATTGCTAAAGAACTTTTTGTCATTTTATAGAACAAAAGACTGTTGACGTGGTCTTGGAAATTCTTTCCTACTGGTAAATTCGCTATTACATCTATGCCTTTATCTTCCAATTCTTCTTTTGGTCCGATTCCTGAAAGCATGAGTAACTGTGGAGTCTTTATACTTCCACAAGTCACTATGACTTCTTTTCTTGCTCTGACAGTAATCTTTTCATTATGTTCAGTCAATATTTCAACTCCAACAGCCGTTTTCTTCTTATCAAATATTATTTTGGTAGCTAAAGTATTAACAAGGAGGTGTAACTTTTTATTGTTTTTAAGTGGTTTTAAGAATTTATGAGCTGGTGTTTGGCGCACGTCATCACCTATAGTGAACATAAGATTCGTGAAACCAAGAGGATGATCTGGATTCACATCTAAATGGTAATCATAGCCAAGTTCTTCTAAGGCATCGAAATATGGATGATTTCTTTCGTAATATACTTTACCTATCTTTATATTGCCTTTTGTTCCGTAATAACGATTTGATTTGAGGAGCTTAGAATCAACTAGCTTTTCATTCTGTTTTAACAATGGCGCTATCGATTTATAGGACCAAGATGTGTCATTAGTGATGGCTGCCCATTCATTGTAGTCGTGAGGATATCCTCGCCTATAGCATCCAAAGCCTAACGAACTAGATCCTCCCAGCATTTTACCTGAGGACATGTGTACGACATCTTTTGTGTGATATTCTCCAATCAATTCATTTTCAGTTGATGTGAAGTTCCAGTCGTATCTGCTATCTTTCAGAAATGGATATAATCCCGCTAACTGGAACATACCAAATTATATGGGTTATTGATGCGACGACATTAAACGGGAGGTTTGATTATTAGAAAAGAATGATTTTGTATGGAACCAGTGCAACTTAATATAAAGATAGGTGGAGGAACAGTAAAATTATTTGTGAATCATTTTTATTATAATATCTGTTAGTAGAAAAAAACTCACATCTGACTCCAAAGGTGGGTATGGTCCAGCTTCTATAAGCAACACACTGGCCTTCCCTGTTTTTACAAGTCTGCTAGCAACTATACATCCTGCTGATCCACCGCCAATCACTATGAAATCAAACTCAGAACCATCTGAAATTGCAATATTATCACCATTTAATAAATTTACAATATGAATATCTTTACGTGTAAGTAAATTACAATAGTACCGGTTTATTATGACGATGACGGCACTACCTCAAAGTTTTCTCAAAAAAATGTTATACGAATTTACTACAGACATTTTCATCTAAATATCGATAATAACAGACTATAAGTAGCTTAGTGTCCAGAAAAAGAAAATATTATTATTTAATTGGTTATGTAACAAAAAAATATACTTTACTGTGGACACACGCTTGGTCTGGCCATTGATATGCTGTTAGATTGAGAACGGAGACCAAATTGAAAATTTGCTCCACCCCTTTGTAATACGATACTGCTGCAGCCGCATCCATGGTTTAATTTTTCTTCACAATCTTTTTTTGAATTCTCTCTTCCACTAACTCACAATAAGTCAACATTCATTTTAAAAATAAACTACAAATAACTAATTAAACACTTTTCTGATAGCACTTGGAATAAAAATGGGTTCCACAGTTCGGTAAGTCTTACATTTATATACAGTCTGTTAAAAGCCAAATTAATTGATAAAGTGCGAATATATTTTTGAAAAACAACTTGCTTTAGGTATTGATAAAGAAGGCAAAAAACACAAAAAAACATTATTGCAGGCAATTAATTAAAGACCCATGAATATACTAATTTAGTTTCCCGATAATAATGACGTTATCAAGGGCTTTTCAACACACGTAATTATTATTGTTAACATAATGCTGCAAAATATCAAAGTGGAAGAGGCACAATACATAAATATGCATAAATAAATTAAAAAATAAATTATACATTTTCATTAATTTATTAAATTAGACATTTACAGCAAACAAGACAATGTATGGTATAGACTGCGATAAGAAAGCGACGAATTGAAAAATACATAATTATTTTCTCAAACCATTATCCGCAATAATCATATTTGAAGCTTTACGAGCTATCGCCATAACCGATGCTTCGGCTAAGGCTCTTACGTTAGTTGGCATAATACTAGCATCACAGACGCGTAAGTTCTTGACACCATACACTTGTAGTCTTGAATTTACAACCGCTCCCATTGAACAAGTGCCTACAAAGTAATGAGCTGTATCTGCTGTTGCAATAGCATAACATTTCCAGTATTCCATAGTATTTTTCTTCAAGCCTTCACATGATTTCAATTGAGGATCTATAAATTCACCCTCAACCTCTTTGAAGTATGTTGTGTTCACAATGCGATTAAAATCTGCTAGATATGATGCATGTTTCTCAATATCGATTTCATTGGAATAATATCGTGGTATGATTAAGGGATTATCTCGAGGATCAGTACTTTTTAAAAGAATTTCCCCTCTCGATTTAGGATTTAAATAAGTTACGAATGTCATGAAAATTTCCTTATTATCAGCAGCTTTGTTTATTGTATCGCATAGTTTATTATCGTAGCTGAAATAGAATGCGCATATACCCAAAAAGGTTAATGTTTCTCCAAAATGAACGCATATAGCTTCATAGTCTGGGTAGCATTGCGACTTATTAAAAGCAACATAGCCGTCAAATATCACGAAAGGATATCTTTTTGGATTATCAAGATTGTAGGCTAAGGAACTTTTTGTCATTTTATAGAGCAAAATTGTGTTAACGTGGTCTTGGAAATTCTTTCCAACAGGCAAATCGGCTATAACGTCAATGTTTTTATCTTCCAATTCTTCTTTTGGTCCGATTCCTGAAAGCATCAGTAGTTGTGGCGATTTGATTGTTCCACACGTGACAATGACCTCTTTCCTCGCTCTTACAGTAATTTTTTCATTGTGTTCGGTCAATATTTCGACTCCAACAGCCGTTTTATTATCATCAAATATTATTTTGGTAGCTAAAGTATTGACAAGTAGGTGCAACTTTTTATTATTTTTAAGAGGTTTTAAGAATTTATGAGCCGGTGTTTGGCGCACGTCATCACCTATAGTGAACATAAGATTCGTGAAACCAAGAGGATGATCTGGATTCACATCTAAATGGTAATCGTAGCCAAGTTCTTCTAATGCATCGAAATATGGACGATTTCTTTTGTAATACACTTTACCTATTTTTATATTGCCTTTAGTTCCGTAGTAGTGATTTGATCTAAGTAGTCTTGGATCGACTAGCTGTTCGTTCTTTTTGAATAAAGGTGCTATTGATTTGTAGGACCAAGATGTATCATTAGTGATGTCTGCCCATTCGTTGTAGTCGTGAGGATATCCTCGCCTGTAGCAACCAAAGCCCAGAGAACTAGAACCTCCCAGCATTTTTCCAGAAGACATGTGGATAACATCTTTAGTGTGGTACTCTCCAATCAATTCGTTCTCGGTTGACGTAAAATTCCAGTCATACCTACTATCTTTTAAAAATGGGAAAAGTCCTTCATACTGAAACAAATATATCTATTGTTGTCACAAAAAATATATCGTAACTTAAAAACACATTATTAAAAAAAAGTCAGGTTTGGGTTATTATGACCCTTACTGTACATTGAGTACATTGAGAAATTATATCGTTAATATTAATAGTTGATTATGCGAATTCCAAATTTTGATAAAAAGGGTGACCCATTCGATAGATATGTCAGAAAAATAAATATTAAAAAAAGTGAATTGGATTATAATTATGTATTTTTAAATCGGTTAGTAAAAAACTAAAAATCACTCACATCTGATTCCAAAGGAGGATATGGTCCAGCTTCTATAAGTAACACACTGGCCTTGCCTGTTTTTACAAGTCTACTAGCAACTATACATCCTGCTGACCCACCGCCAACCACTATAAAATCGAACTCTGATCCATCTGAAATTAAAACATATCAGTTTATAATGTCTATTCGCAAACTACATGTTATAGACATTGATCTCCGGAACTACTCGCAAATACTACTATGAATTATGTCTTTAGTATTCGGTGCTCTATTTATAGAGGAAAGCTACAGGCCATAAAACATCATGCTACCATTAATAGGAGCCGAGCAGAGAAGTAAAACTGCGCGAGAATAGCTAGAAATATATGTATATAGAGGTATATAAAAATGATTCCCTTTTTCCCATGGTCACATCCACGTCCATCAAGCGTGGCGCGTAAATGGCTGGACGGATTTCTCTAATATTTTTTTTTGTATTTGTTATTATTAGGAGAAGAAATAGTCCAAAAAATCCTACGGGAACAGGAGAATAAAAATGACATTTGACAGTATTAAGTGTCAAATATTCAAAGTTTATTTCTCAGTTAAAATTTATCGGGCGTTGAAAAAATTGGCCCTAAGTAAAATATGTTGAAAACTCTTGATGTTTTGTCTGTCTTCAATAAAAAAAGGTAAATTAATAAATGAATATACGTTACTGTGAACACACGCTTGATCTGGCCATTGATACGCAGTTAAATTCAGAATGGCAACCATATTAAAGATTTGCTCCACTCCTACGTAATATGACACCGCTTCGGATGAATTCATGATTTCAGTATCCTCAACAACTCGATTAAATCGTTCTTAAAATGATTTGATATTTATGTCATGTCATTAACATTTCCCGGAAAGAAAGCAAACAATGAAAATTGGAAAATTTATCCTTTACTGACAGCACTTCCTAAAACAATGGAATATTTAATTCGGCATTTTTCTCTTTTATATACACATTTCACAATCACCAGACAAATAGATAAAGTGTAAAAAATTCATGTCAGTCTGTTAATTTCATTTGCAATAATTTATTGCCTCTTAAATGATTAAAGCCAGTTAGAACAAAAGAATAAGCTGCTGCATAGTTACGTAGTTATCGAAACAGACAGTAAGTGTCAATATTTTACAATTAACAGTCTTCGTCTGCAATTACTGTGAACTCGTTTTTAAGTTTTCATATATATATTTTAACCGACTTCCCAAAAAAGGAGGAGGTTATTAATTCGGCTGTATGCTCTTTTTGTGTGTATGTTACGTTACATTGTAATGGATGAGTACTTCTCAGCATTTTGCGTTTCGTCATTATCGTATTTAGTTAATTTAGAGAGATTTTATGTTCCTACTTTTTTTATTTCAATTTTTTTTTTAGTTTCTTAGAATTCCTAATATTGTAACATATTTTTTCTGTCAGTTTGTTTTTACACTGTTATTTTTCAATAAATATTATTTTATTTTATCATAATTAAAAAATAATGTATTGTTGACTAATACTAAATTGTGCATGCTGTGTTAGCCTATAAGTGATTATTATACTCGCCCATGTGTTATATCTTTTATTAACAGTAATGAAAAAGTGTAATAATTGTTGGCTAACCTATTTAAATAAATAAATAAATAAAAATGTTACGCGATTACTGCGGCGTTTGTGAACGGATTTTGATGATTCTTTTTTGTCGGGATGGTTATACTTTTGGGGTGGTCACATTTCCACCAGGTCGGGATCTGTTGATAGGATCCCATGGACACCGAGAGGAACTTTTCAAAATAGTGTGGATGGTGAAAGCGTTTGTTAATTTTTTGATATAGTATTTGAAACCACTACAATTTGATGAAGGTATGGAGTTGATCTGATGATGGAGTCAAGAGAAAGCCGAGGGAACTCCTCGAGGATTTGTAGCAATGTGTGTGGGCTTAAATTATTTGTATTGAGAATATCTTTACATCTAGATTGAATATAATTATCATTAGGCGACTGATGATGAAGTAGTATGATAGCTAAGAGAACTCCTTAACAGCTGGCAGTAGCTACTTGGGGTTTGGGCTTTATAAAGCCCAAAACATAGACGTTCGTATCTTGTTTCGAGTTTTATGGGTCAGTTCTGAACCCGGACAGACTTGCTTGCTAAATGCTATTTATGGCCTTTACTCCCGAAAAAGTTTGCAGAAGTAACACTAGAAATATTACATTAAATAATTTATTCCTAGTATCTACACATCTACCCCAACTGTTATTGAGTTAAGCGACAAAATAAAGGACATAGCTCATTAGAGCTACTCAACACCCTTTATAATAAATTTATAATGCTACCAACACCGCCACATTCAACAATATATCTTCTCCTGTTTTTCACTCTTGATAGGTATCGGTATAGGTATAGTTATCGATGAATATTAGTTTATTGTAGGTCGCCATTCTTGCCAGATAGCCTTACTGATACAATTATGGATAGAGTAAGCCTGTTGTTAGCTTAATTATATCAGTTCATTCCTTGGAAGAATTACCTCTATAGTTCATCATAACATTGACATGCAGTAGCTACCAGATCAACCTACTCCAATTTGTCAAATTTATTAATTGTATTTTTTACTTTATGCTAATACAATAAAGTTGAAGATGAAATAAAGAGATTTGACAGATAGAATAGGTCGACCTGCTGGCCACTGTACAATAAATAATGTTTTGATATAATAAATTGAAATAAAAGACGAAGTAATATATTATAATACATTTATTGTTATAAAGTTTCAATTTAGACATACAATACAATTTAAGAACTCGGAATTATGTCGATGCTTGAGCTGCATCCATTATCACGTTTTTCTGCTCATCAACTTCTTTTCAATTATCTTTTTCAATATCGAGTGTTTGGAACAAAAAGTGCATCAAATATCTAGTTCACTTTTATATAACAGTTGATGATAACTATTTATTATACAAAAATTTAGAAATGTTGCACATACATTGAATAATTTAGTTCAATTAGATAAAGACGAGACAGTCAAACCATTGTGCTTATCCTTAATAACCTTTATCATTTTAAAGAGCCATTTAAAAGATATTTGTGGTTCTAGTGAAGTCTTTTATGTTCAAATTGTATGCATGACACCAAACTTGTTTGCATTTCAAATCTATTAGTATAATTGAGACTTGCCTAATTGTTCTATTCCATCACAAGATCATAAAAAAATAAATGCTCTCGGTGAAAAAATATAATAATGTGTCGGTATATGTATCTGGTTTGAAAATCTCTAGAACAAAATTATGTATACATTGAACCATCTTATCAAAACTATGTGGATGTTCTAAATACTATGATCGAAAATAAACCTTATACAGGAATATTTTAGATCAAATTCACTTAGAATCTTGTTTATCGCTAACTAAAACAAATACCTGACAAGCAGTATGGCTGAGAAATTCCTTTACATGTCGCTTAATACCGGGGCTTTGCGAGCAACGGTTAATGAAATAAAGTGTAGCATAACAGAGTTATAACAGAGGAAATAGGTAGATAGGGTTGCACCTCAAGCTATGCATAACTAGTCTATCATGGTCTCGCTTTCAACGTTCTTTTTACATGTTCAAAGGTCAGTTTATACTGGTTATGCCTAACTTGGTATGTAGCCGTGAAGAAGACCACGTAAGAGGACAATATTGTAGAGGTCTGTATGATATTATTATGTTCTAAATTATGGGAAGTAATATTCAATTTACTTTGATTTAGGTATATTCTGAGGACTGGTATAGTTTTCATGTAAGAAGTATGTAGATTTCTGTCTACTACTACTGTTCAATGTAGAAATAATCATTTCTACCTGAGATTACTAGAAAAAAAATGCATATGTGTACAGCCTGTGCCGTCAGGTACGCTATTTGTAAGAATTCAGGTCCACTGTGAGCATTTGAACATAATAACGATTGCTATTTATAAGATAAGGTACATCAAGAAGTCTGGTGTTAGGAACATAAACTTTTTAACAAGTCAGTTTATTTGTAGTAGAATATTTTTACAATAATTTGACGACTTCATTATTTCTGTGTAGTGATAAAACCTTATCGGAGGCCAAAATCAAAGTATTCATTTCACAAACTCCTTTCCGAACAAAAACATGTGAGTGAACACAACAAAGTTTCATTTTGAAGTATTTTAGTGAATCCCATTTCATTCCCCATACCACATAAACACATAGTAACTTTAAACTTTTTAATTTCATTTGTAGAACAGTCAGTAATAGTACCAATAAACGTTTAATATGGAAAGAGCACTTTGGCTTAATATGGCTGCAACCAATTGAGCGATATTGCTCTCGCTTGTCTACTACGAGTGATTACAACAATATTGAGAGCGCGAGTGTGCTACTGTACACCAGATTTAACTTCAATGTTTTTTATACATTTACTAGCTGTTCCTTCCCGATCCCAACCCGCTTTTCTCAGCTCCTTTAAAGTGTAGCGTGATGTTTTAGAGCCTGTAATCCATTCATTTCCATAACCGTAACTATAACCGTCCTTGACAAATGAACTATCCAACACAGAAAAATATATCCAATCAAAAACATAAATGTGAAATGAGAGAAAAGTTCAATATTATGATAAATGGCTTGGTTGTTGACTTCAACGATAAAAGAAGTGAGATCTAAATGGGTGCCAAGTTCAATGGTCAGTCCTGAAATTTAGTTATAAGTAACAGTATAACATATCATTATAATATCTTCTTATAACATAAGATAATGTATTATAGCCTAAGGTCTGTCTTGGCTGAATGTGAAATAGTTTTTGATTTATGAGGGGGTCAAAAGTGGCTCCAAATGGCTCGTGTCATATTACACACGGTGCGGCTCGCCAGTTCTCTTTCTTGAAATTGGCTTGACACGCTACCACCTGTCTAGATTCAATTCGGACGTGTAGTTCAGCAGATTAGCGCGCTTAAACAAACTCTCCAGCTTTATACATACAGATATAAGTAGGTAATAAATATATATAGGTAAAGTATACATGGAAACTCGTGCATGGTAGAAGCTGATGGCCTATTATGTTGGTAAGCAGACACGAACCTACGTCCATCTACCACATCAGAAGTACCATTAATGCGTTACGTATCATGTAGTTAACCAAAAAAGTGACCCCAAATTTTTTTGTATAATCAGTTACCTCGATCTATTTAAATTGCGTAAAGCAGATCTACCATAAAATGCATACTTTCTAACTTACTGAATGACATTCAAGATATAATATGCTGTAGTTATACGATCTGGATTCTTTGAAAACTTTCTGCGTTCTATTCATATGTTTAGCCATCAAAATCAAAATCTATTAAATATGAAAGTTAGACACAAGTATAACCCGCACTACAAACTACATGCTTTGACTTATATTTAAATTGTTACTAATTTCTGATTATTTGGTTCATTACCATGAATTAAATAGGATTAATAACATAGATGATATGGATTCGATTTACCTATAGCAGTTTAGAATGCAGGTTTATCTCTTTTGTGTATCTCACTATCGTGTATAATGAACGTATGCACCTTGATATACATACTTGCATCTGTCTGTTACTAAACTGCATGCACGGTGATGTTTTTTAAAATTTCATGTTTATGAATGAAAGTTTTATTGGGAATATAAGAAACAGACAATAATTTTATATCAGTGTTTATAGTCTAAGATCCCGCCTTGAACGACCTTCACCGAGATGCTTATTTGATGAAACATATTTTATATTCAATTTAATATGTCAATAATTATATTCCATATGGGTTGCCTAATAAATTTCAGTCCAGAACATGACTAATTAATAATTTAAAAAATATTTTTTTTCAAATGTTTCACCGGTTTGACTATTAAACAAATTCCATTTCAATCGAAAGTATGAAGCCCATAGAATATGGAAACGTT